GTGCATGTATTATTTTTTTAACAAGAGGGGCAAGTGAAACAAGGCCAACAATAATTATTCTTAATGTTAAAAAAAAAAGCCTTGCATCTCAAACTAAGCCAAGAGCAGTAACAGCTTATAACTGCCCCAGAGCAAGCCATCCACAGAGCTATAAACTCTTTACGGATTATGCATTTACCATCCTCAAGTTCAAGCTCCAGGGTATAGGGTCGATGTGTCGGAGCCCAGGACATAGGACACAAAGGAGTGCGAGACGGAGCCAGAGGAGAGCTGAACAGAGCTCCACACTCACCATCCATCCGCCCAAAGCCTTACCCTGTGATCCACCAGAAGGTGATCCTGGAAAGGAAGGAGGCACCGGATTCTGGGCAAGGGTTCTGATGGAGAGAAAGCACAGGGGGAGAAGAACAGGGAAATGGATGGTTAAACTTTCCATCTGCGCCAAGCTCTGCAGGGGCATCGCAACCCACTCCTGCAGTCTACCAGGGAAATAACACTGAGCCTGAGCTGACACGCTACTAGCCTGAACAGAGATGATTTCATTTAACCCTCATAACCACTTCCCAGTGCCAGCTGCTGTTGTGTGGCTCTAAGTACGGCAACCCCACGTGTCAGAGCAGAATTGTGCTCCCTAGAGTTTCCAATGGCTGGTTTTCAGAGACCAGATCACCAAGCCTTTCTTCCGAGGCACCTCTGAGTGGACTCAAACCTCCAACCTTTGGTTAGCAGCTGAGCACGTTACCTTTTGCATCACCCTGGGACTCCCATAACCACCTTAAGAGAAGCTAATAATATGGTCCCCATTTTGCAGTTAAAGAAACTGAGGAACAGGGAAGTGATTATGACTTGCCCAAGGTCTCACGGCTAGAATGTGGTAGAGGCAGGTTGCAAGCCCCCAGCAGTCAGGCTCCAGAGGGAATTATAATCAATGTCATGAAACAAAACAATATGAACTACTGAAGAGAAAAACAATTTTGCTCTGTAAACTTTCATCCAAATCGCAATTAAAAAAAAAAAAAAAAACCACCACCACCACATCCAGGCCTTACCCTCAAAGGTTCTGATTAAACTGCTTAGTGGAGGGACCAGGGTTTTCGTTGTTTATGTTTCATTTTAACTACAGATTCTCCTTGACAAAATGGCTGGGGCATGAAATGTACAGGATATGCCTAGATCATCTTGTTACACTAGATATCAAGGAAACAAAAGAGGAGTAGGGTTGGATTAAAAGGCCTCAGAAGCAAGAAGGAATGGGTCCAAGGACCAAAAGCAAGGCACTCTGAGCTTCGATGAGGATAACGTGTGTAACGGACTCAATCATTCACATCTGTTTAAATACATAAGGTTGTACTGATTCTAAAAACAAACAGAAAAATACCTTGGTCACTGGCTAATGACCAACTCAACAGTTTGAAAACACTAAAAGGGAATATAACAAGCATTTTCCCCACCTTTCCTTAGATGAACGGCATGACCTCATGAACAATTAGACAAGGGGGGGTGTCTTCATACAAGCACTGCAGCTACCAAATGAAGGAATATAATACAGGAGGGCATCACTTTGCATCCACAATGACTTATTGGGATTACTGGGATATTAGGTGGCATTGAGGAATTATTACTACTGGTTTTAGGCATACTGTAGTATGCTTTTTAAAATTCTTATCTTTCAGATAGGATCACTGGGAAAAACAGGGTGCAGGGTACACAAGAACTCTATGTACTATTTTAATAATTTCTTATGAGTCAAATTATTTCAAAACAAAAAATTAATAAAAACAACACAAAAATATCCTCACCTTTTAGAGCTGCATACTGAAGTATGCATACATGCCACTCGGGGTAAAGGGTACATGGCGGTTCATTAAACTAGCATGCCATGTACTTCTGTATAGGTTTGAAAGCTTCCATCGGAAAAGATGAAATGAAAGGCTCCCCAGTCACTCACACACACAGCCAGGGTGACAAATGACCTGGGACCATCTGCCCAGGCTGCACTCGATCATTCCACAATGACCACGGGCCTGGCTGCCCACCAGCATCTCCTGGGAAACTTGTTGAAACACATGTGCACAGCCCCAGTCCATACCAACTAAGGCAGACTCTGGGGATGTGGCCCCAGCATCAGTATATTTTTAATAATCTCCAGTGAATCAGATGCACCTTGTCCATGAACCTACCATTCTAGAACAACTCAAAGCAGAGTAAGTCCAGACTGTAGAGTCAGACAAACCTAGGTTCAAATTCTAGCTCCAGCATTTTTCTAGCTGAATGACCACGGGGCCAATTCACTTCACTTCAAAGCCTTGGTTTTCTCATCTGGAAAATGGGAGTGATGATTCCTGATGCTCAGCCTACCTCACAGGACTGCCGGAAGGGACAACTGGAATGAGATCTACGGGACTGGACTCTTTCCAACCTAAAGCAGCAGCAAGATCAGTGAAAGGGGTGGTGGTGTTTGCGCTGCAGGCTGGGTGGGAAACATTTCCATGCAGGCTGATTTTCCTCGGGAGAGTCCACACCTTCCTGGCCCCATGGGCCTGCCTAATCCCACAGTTAGTGGGTGGGTTATCAAGGAAATGCAAATGAACTGCAAATCCACTTCAGGGGAGTCCTAGAACTGTGAAAAGCAAAGGTGCAGGCAGAGAAGGGAGGCAGGTGTGGGGCATAGCCAACAATGACACATTTATGTTTTCAGCAAATGTTTAAAGTGGGTCTGCTTACATGCCAGTTAAGTGCTGGGGACAAAGCAAAACAGTGCGCCCCTTCCCCATGCAGCTTTCTGCCTGGGGGATGGGGAAGGGAGAAACCGTAAGCAAACCAAGATGCAGACAAATAAGTAACTATAAACTGGGAGAGCTATAACAATGGGGGAAAAAATGTCCCACAGAGAGATGGCTCGGGGAGGGGGATAGAGGACTGGCTTACCTATGTGGCAGAATGGCATCGTGATTACCAAGGAGGGCTTCAGTCCCAGCTCTGCCATTTACTAGCTGTGGGACCTTGGCAAATTACATGATGGTGATGAAATTAAATTAGATAAAACACATAAGTACTTAGAAAAGTACCTGGCATGGAGCAAGAGCTCAAGAAACTGTATTATTATTTTTATTAATGGTAAATTAAAACAAACAAAAACCAGCTGTCATCAAGTGAACTCCGACTCATGGCACGCCCACACGTCAGAGAACTGTGCTCCGTAAGGCTTTCAGTGACTGAATTTTCGAAAGTGGATTGGTAAGCCTCTCATCTCAGTCACATCTGGTACCTTGAGCCACCAACATTTCAGTTAGCAGTGAGCACATTAGCCATCTGCACCACACTCAGAGACACCGTCATTAATAGCAAGTAGTAGGAGAAACAGTAACAACAGCTTCAAAATCTTGCAGACCCCTGGCACATCGAGCATTGTATCAGATGATTTACATCAGGGGTCAGCAAACTACAGCCCATGGGCTGGCTGCTTGTCTTTGTAAGTAAGGTTTTATTGAGATGCTGCCACACCCATTTATTTACATATTGTCTATGCTGGGTTTCCTACAACATTGGCAGAGCAGTTGCCACAGGCACAGTACAGCCTGCACAGGCCAAAATGACTACTACTGATCATTAACTTCACTACCGAAGTTTGCAGATTCTGGCTTCACATCAAACCTCACTACACCCTAAGACACAGTGATTAAATAATGGGTAAAACCAGGGGTCAAATACAGGTGTTTGGACTCCAAATCCATTCTTCTTTCAGCCTTGGCATTGACTCAGAATACAGTTGTACAAGCTGCACCTTGCATAAAAATGCCCAGCTGAGGGACCAAGTGCCCAGCTCAACAAGACCCAAGCCCTGCGCCCAGAGCGGCTGCCTCAGCTTGGTAGAAGCGGGGCTTTGCTCTAATCCGCAAACCTGAAGGGGCACCTATTTCTAATTTGCACAGAAGCACTGAAGAGCTAGTAGGGATGGGAGAGACCTGCACAGCAGACACAAAAGGGGCTTCACAAATCCTGGCACTCTTCCAAAATCAGCTTTATTGTATATATGGGCGTTTTTATAGCATACAATTTACAGCACTTACAGAACAATTTACCAAATGAGACCAAAAGGGCTGCATTTGCCCAAAGACAACGTTCAGAAGGCAGGAAGGGGAAGGAAAGAATGATGAATGGAAATGGGGAACTCAAGGAGGAAGTGGGAAACGTATCTTTCCATCTAAAGGATTACAGTTAATGTCTATAATTACTGAATGAAAAACTAAGTTTCTTTTGTAACCTTTCATTCAACAGACAATAAAATGGTTTTTTTTAAAAAAAAAAAAAAAAAGAAAGGCAGAAACAATCTGTTGACTACACCATTTAAGGTGAATTCATTCTGTCTATACTCAAGTGTACGCAACCCCCTCACACACACACACACACACACAAAAGAATCTATTGTCATCACATCGATTCCAACTCATGGCAGCCTCACGTGTTCCGGTACAACTGTGCTCCACAGGGTTTCCCTGGCTGTAACCTTTAAAGAAGTAGACCATCAGACCTTTCCTCTACAGCACCACTAACTTTTAGGTCTGTAGATGAGTACAAACCATGTGTGCCACCCAACAGAATCTTATTCCAGAGATCGTAACAAGTGATGCCCAGAGGAAAAGTGAAAGTGAGCTCAAGCCACTGTGAAAAAATTCACCCTGCAAATATAATATGGCTGTGTTATTAACATAAACATTTCAGTGTCTAATCTATGCCCTGGTGGTGCAATGGTTAACCATTCAGCTGCTAACTGAAAGGTTGGAGGTTCAAGCCATTCTGTGAGAGAAAAGACCTGGTAATCTGTTCCTGTAAAGATTACAGCCTAGGAAACCCTATGAGGGTTACTGCCTTGAAACCCAAAGGAGGTCACTATGAGGGAGTTCTACTCTGTCCTGTAGGGTCACTACGGTAGGAATCGACTCAATGGCACCCAACAACAATCTGCATACTACAAGACCTTGGTTGAATTCTCCTCCCCAGTCCTCTTCTAATGGTTGACTCCAAACACTGATTTCCAGATAATCTGAAATTACATCAGATTGACATGTCTCCTTCCTTAGCACAGACAAGGAAACAGATCCATCTGGGAGCAAGTTTCCAAAAGTCCTTATCTGGTACAGAAGTGCTTATTTGGTAACAAAGATAACTGGGGTTCTGAAGTAGCCAAGGAATGAACTATAAATGGGGGAAAAGGCGACACAGCATTCCACTCAACCGAAACCAAGCAGGCCTTTGTGACGTCAGTCATTAAATTCGGGAGACACAGAGCTGCCAGCTGGGGCCTCCTAGCCTCCGAGAGGAAAGACTTCTTAACGAGTTTCCCATTCATTTAGAACTGAAGATGATTCAGACAAGT